GAGAAACAGTAAGATAAAAATGGTCAGAGTCACAGATTAAAAACGTCACTAGACATCAGTCTGGAGCTTCTTAGTTTTTTGCAATCCGACACATAACAGAGCAACGCGTAGCACAAACTGCGCAGACGACTCGGGTTATCAAAAGCAGGCAACACCGCACACCCGTTTCATCTTTTAAAACAAAACCACCCTTATAAAGATGCTAATAAAATTACAGACTCAAACAAGTGTTGGTAAACTAGCACAACTACCCAGCAGAGTTTCATGTCTGTAAATATATATATATATATATATATATATATATATATATATCTTTTAAAAGGTATCTTTTTGCAACGAAATTTGTTTTGTATAATGTGTGATTTAATTTTTATGTAATTTGGTTGGTCAGTTATCTACAACAAAAACAAGAAGAACGGATAACATCTGAGGAAGCAACAAGCCCACTGTAGCCTTTGATATGGTTTAGCGCCAAAACAATCCATTAAACTATTTTCACTGTTTCATTTTAATTCATTAATGAAGCGTGGTTTGAGCAGCATTATCTGGACAGTCTTTACAGGCTATTGGCAGCACTTTGTTTCTTATATTACTTCGGAAGAATAAAATCGGTCTGAAGGATGCGAGTTCAGAAGCTCGCTGTATGAATGGAGACATTATAAAATGAGTCTGCATAGGCCCATTTGTGCCAGTCTGTCAGACAAATTTGGTTAAATCATCCGCGGATATAACGGAGATCTGCGCATAACAGGGTTTTATGCATTCTGCAATATGCAATGTCAAGAGGGTGACTCCATAATAAGGTAAACTCCACACACTTGATGATGTAATGTGTGGACGATGTCATTTACCGTTTAAAGCGTTATCGACAATCAATCGATTATCAAGTAATCGTTAGCCTACCTAAATAAAATAAATTGAAGGATATTTCACCCTAAATTCACCATACTCACCGTTAAAAGAAATGTTTATCCAAAACTGAAAATTCCGTCACCATTAATTCACCATTTACTTGTTCCAAACTTGTTTTTTTTTCTGATGTCAATATCCAATAACTTGTAGGTAATGTCTTTGGTTGTTGAAAACTTAAACAATAAATGCTGAATTAAGATTGTCATTTTGCTTATTACTTTATTTATATTGTCAGACATTTAAAACATTTTGCAAAATATGTTAAATCGGCTGCATGAAGAGATTTGCATGCTGAAAATCACATAAAATTGATAGATATAAAGACTTTACATTTATCGTGATAATTTTTTTGCCATAATGCCCAGCTCTACTTCAATATATTACCATTTTAAGATCAAACAAATGGAGCTTTGCTGAATAAGAACAATAATCAAAAAATAATATTACAAACCTCAAACCTCTGAACATACAGCACTTGACAGGCCAAGCACAAAGAACAAGAAATCAACTTAAATTTCAAAGCTTTTTTTTTTTTAAACAACACAAAATAAATGACATGTCTAATTTCTCAGCTGTCTTGAAAGTTATGTGCAATCAAACATCTAATTCATGGATGAGGCAACATGATGAAAGACAGTAGAAATTCTGCAATATCCTCAATCCTTTGTAACTTTACCCACTTTTGGATCATTGTGTAATAATGCAATACAAAATGCAATAATATTTACTAATTACTTTCACACAAATATAAGTGTTCTCTTCTCTCCTATAGCACAAAGTGATTAAATAACATTAGGCAACAACAGCGACAGATGTCTGCAGTTAAGAGAATACTGCCTGGATACCACACACACGAAAAACATCCTGTCATAGCCAGAGTTCTGCCTTCAGGGAAGAGGTAAAAAAAAAAAGGTGAACAAAAAACACTAGAAGTAAATAGAGATGAGTCCTCTACAGTCCATCCAGTGGTTAGTGATTTAAGCATGAGTTTCCATGACAAACTTTGCAATCATAAAGGTCAAATCAAGTTTAGCTGTAATTACATCACCGAGTGAATTCAATCTGCTGTAATTCAGTGTTGCTTTGTTTGCAACAGGAACAGTTTTCAAAACAGAGTCATTTGCTTGAGTAAATTCAATCAAGCTCAGCCTTGAAAGCCACACTGGTACAGAACAAGCTCAGATTGTGGAGTCTGAGAAACACTGTGGCTTTTGACAGAGTTGATACATGGCCTTAAGATGGCTGACAGAGCCGCTTTTTATCAAGAAATACAGTCTCCGGGCTGACTCTCTGACTCCACAAAATAAACAAGTGGAAGCCCTCAAAAGCTAAGATGAGAGACAGACAGATCTCCAAACAAGGCAGATTCTTCACTGACAATGTCCTTCAATTCTGTACAAAGTGAAATTTACTGACAGGTTTTATCTGCTAAAGGACCTGCAGCTCAAGTGAATAGTTTGTTCCAGCAAGTTCACGCTGTAAGAACACTGTGTTCATCATCAAGGACGAAAAATTGAATTAAAACAGCACTCTCTCTCTGAACATGACTAACTTGATCAAAAACCATACTAATCTACAGGGTTAGATTATCTGACACCCTTCCACAACCAGGGGTAATGTGTTTGCCAAGTAATTTCAGCCACGAGAAAGGAGTTGAACTCCATTTCCTCCAGTTTTAAAAATTTGAAGGGAGATCCTTCCCTAAATTAACTAAACTAACAAATTAATAAGCACTCACAGTTTTGTTCAATTATCATTTAGACATTTGAGTCTGTTTGCTTTTTTGTTTTAAATGAGTTTGCTATTTTAGTACATCAAATTAAACTAAATGATTTTTATACCATTGAAACAGGCTAAAATGCACATTTTAATATATTGAGGTAAAGTTGGTTTAATATATATTTATATTGTATTGACAGTTAGACTTTCACTTCCAAATATAATTTCATTAAAGTATACTTCGGAAATTCTAAAAAAGAAAATCACATTAGCAGCCAATGATTATTAAAGTACAACATTGTTGACAGTAAATTTTTTTCTTCACCACTGGCTTGCTGGGATTGGGACTTGAAGAGCTGTGCATCAATAGATATGCTCTTCAGTGTTTGGAATTTCAGCAGTGAAAATTAAACCACACTGGACTGAACTTCAACTCTGAAATTTTTAACAGCACATTTGGATTTTTTTTCTGCTAGAGATACTGCTGTCCTAAAAAACTACAAATAAAGAAGCAAATAAAAAAAAAATCGTACACATATCTTTGGAATGGTATAGGAGAAAATTCTGCCGGTTTTAAAACCTTTACTTTTCCAAACCATGGTATACTTTGAAAACGGTTATTGTCCATGCCTAAAAAGCGCTATATAAATAAACATGAATTGAAAAAACTGAATCAATTAAATAGTGCTAATGTTGTTTTGAACTCATATATATATATACGTGTGATTTCAGACCCAATGTTCAAAGTAGCTTGTCACAGGTAAAAATAGAATGAACGTGTAAAACCAACTTTACCACAATTATTAATGGTAAAGTTATTCGTAGTTTTACATATAACCCTACATACAACGCAGCATTCACAGAAAAGCTGATTAACTACGTTATTATGTAATTAATAAAAAGGGCTGAACAGTTATGCTAAATGTAATTCAGAGAGTAAGAGTACTTATGAACAACACTAAGGCCACAAATACATTTCAGCTACTCTGAAGGGACTCAAATTAACCAAGTCTGAATACACAGTTCCTTCATCTTTGCTCAGGTATTTGGATATGACATGAGAGACGCCTCAAAAAGCAACAGGGACCAAACCTTCAATCAAAGGGAGCATAATAAGAATAAGAATATTACCCAATCTGTGAGAGAGGATGTCTCAAATAACCTTGTCCGGTGGCAAAACAGACATCTGAAAGACTTTGAATTTAACCTTGAGTAAAAGGTTTGTTTCGCACCAGGCATTCGCACCGATTTCAAGTTATACCGCGGTTTGGTAAAGTGAAGGTTTTAAAACCGCCAACATTTTCTGTTATGCTGTTCCTACAGTATATGGAAGGTTTTTTACGTTTCTTTTTAGCTTTTTAGGACAACAATATCTACAGCAGAAAAGATGTCCAAAAGCCAGTTTTAAATTGCAAAGAAATCAGTGTTGTTGAAACTAATGAAGACACCAGAAGTCAATGATTCATTTGAATTATTTAGCCAGACATGATTACTGCTCCAAAATATACATTTTACCTCAAAATAAAATATATAGTGTTCAAAGGAGAGACAAGTTTTAGTTTTTTTTTTTACCCAGACATTTAAAAAGAATATACTTTAAAACAGTAATCACAATACCATGAAACCGTGACTTTTTTATCCAATGTCATCATTATATCGTCAAAATCAGCCCAATGCCCATTTTTTGCACTTGTCATTTTGAAACAAATATGAAACCCTTTAAATGTTAGGTTCCACAGTATCTTATTTAAATGTCCCACTGAAGAACTTGCCTACACCATGAATTACCTGAGGAGGAACCTTTTGGGTGAAGTTCAGGTCTAAATCACGAATCCATGCTTATTAGATATTATGAAATATTCATGACTTCTGTGGAAAGTTCCATGTGCTGAGATAAAGCCTAAAGTGAATCGTGCAAACGTCAAATCCGGTAAATGGGGGTTTATAGTACATTTCGGAAAATTTACAACCAGAGGCTATTAATGTGACGACAATTAAATAGATAAACAGCCTATAACATATTGTAATGCTCTGTTTGTCCAGTTAATGTTAGATAAAACTTACTAACAACCTTCTATATGACATCTTAGAGCATGACTACCACCCAAATATGAAATATATAAACAGACCACAAGGTAACTCAGGATTATATTGAGCAGGGGTTAAAACTTTAACATGTGGAAAAACTCAACAGGTGCCTGTACATAATGCTTAAGTCACATCCTGAGACTCAACAGGTATGCAGGCCCACAGCTCCTCAGCAAAAATCATAGCAGCTCAACAGTTGTGTGCATTGTCGGTTATCAAAACTAACTATCACACAGCTTTACTGCTGATTGTACAGAGTAGGTTTTCAAACACGTGCTTACCTGCAGTAAACGAGACAGTCCATATGATTTATTTCTTTATCCGAGCGGTGTCGCCTGTAATCCTCCCATAAATCCTTGATAGCGGTAACGGACAATATAAAAACCACTGGGGCAAGAGCAAGCTCCGGTTGAAAAGCGTTGACCACGGGCACGAAATTCAGCAAGGCTATGAAAACAAAATACACGTTGGCAAACCGGTGGAATTGCTCGAAGAGGTTCTTCGGTAGGAAGGAAAGCAGAGTGTATTTTGTGGTTTTGATCTTATTGTTTGCATAGTGTCTGTTAGGGTTATCCCCTCCTTTGGTATGGTCATACAAAATGTTGGCGTGTACAGTCCTTGTTTTGCTCTCCTTTTTACTTTTCCTTCTTTTGTGCTTTTTCACTTTCCCACTTTTCGTTTCTCCAGACTCTCCAGTCTCTCGCGCCATACTTCGCCCCAAACTTTTGTCTCTTTTCCTTGAACAAATAAAAGATGGTCTCTATGTAATCATGCTGATCCTCCTTGACGATGTAAGGCCGTATGGAAAGTTCCTCACTCTGGTTTATCGTCCTCACCCATCGCGTCAATCCTCTCCCTGTCTCTCGTTAGCACTGAAAAGTTTTACAGCGGCATCTTTTTTCCTCTTAGTAAGTTTGATGAAGATGCGTTAAGGCAGGGCATGTGCAACGCAGCACAAACAAATGGGATAAACCTATCTACAGCGATTGCTATGTTGAGTCCATCCGTATGAGTGCGCTCTCGGCTCATTGCGCAGGCCGTGGTGAAAAAATAAGCCAATCACGGGAGGTTACATGATAACGTCACCTCCGACGCAAACAAAACTCCGCCCTTTAAGTGCCACGCATTACTATCGAAAAAAGTGGTACATATAATACAAATATAATTTTGCTAAGAGATCACCGCAATATTGCTTAGAATGCTTTGAAAAGGTATTGTATATTATATAAATAAGCCTACTTTTAAGTGAAAAATGCACTGATTTAGTCTAAGTTTGCTTAGCCCTTTAACTGCCAACAGCTTTTCTGATTGTATTTCTTAACTCTTAATGTCGATAGTAACACACTCAGTGCATTTTTTTATCAACACATCCCATAATTTCTGAAATATAAAGTTCTACCAAATGGTTGATATGTTGGATACCGGTAAAAGTAGCAGAATTACATACACTTCAAGTCAGAATTTTTAGCCCCCTTTTGATTTTCTTCTTTCTTTTTAAATATTTCCCAAATGATGTTTAACAGAGCAAGGAAATTTTCACAGTATGTCTGATAATATTTTTTCTTCTGGAGAAAGTCTTATTTGGTTTATTTTGGCAAGAATAAAAGCAGTTTTAAATAATAATAATAATAAAAAACATTGTAATGTCAAAATATTAGCCCATTTAATCTAGATATTTTTCCGATAGTGTACAGAACAATCCATCATTATACAATAACTTGCCTAATTACCCTAACCTGCCTAGTTAACCTAATTAACCTAGTTAGGCCTTTAAATGTCACTTTAAGCTGCATAGAAGAAGAGTCTTGAAAAATATCTAGTGAAATATTATTTACTGTCATCATGGCAAAGATAAAATAAATCAGTTATTAGAGATGAGTAATTATAACTGTTTAAAAATGTGTTGAAGAAAAATCTTTTCTTCGTTAAACAGAAATTGGGGAAAAAATAAGCAGGGGTCTAATAATTTAAGGGGGCTAATAATTTAGACTTCGTATATAATAACTGTATATGAAAATCAGAAAATATGAAGTGTAAGATTAATTTATTGAAAAAGAATCCAAATAAAACATCTTTGAATATGAAATCATCTTTATTTTTGAAGCATGCCATAAAATATTTTAGATTCTCATTTTACATGTTTTCTTGTTTGTTTTTTACAGTAAAACCAAAATCAAATGAAGTAGTGCAACAGGATTATGTTTCTTTAATTATTTTTGTAAACCAATATTTTTGCTGTGTGTGTAAACCATCATTTAAAACAGTCACTCTTTAAATGATTTTAACAGTCATCATTTAACAGTCAAAACATAGTCAACCATTTGGTAGAGCAAGCAGTTTTACTCAAACAAACAATTCAATGTTTCTTCAGCCAGACATTTTTGCTGTATCCAATACTGTTTACAAACACTAAAAATGTAGATGTTTTAGTTGACTATACCTTTTAAAATTTTTGATTTGCTTATTTTATCACATACAGTTTTTATGGTGGCTTGAGAAAGCCTGTTATACTTAAACTTGTTCTTCTTCCGCCTTCTTCTTCTTCTCAGACTATTTTAAGAACACATCTCCTTCCTAGACCATTCACACTACAACCAAACCTCCAAACTATTCTGAATTAAGTTATTATATCTTTTCCAACTGATCCAACTTCTGGTTTTCTGAAAACTGTCCCGTGTATATATCTATGGCAACCACCTAGCATAACCTTAGCAACAACTCAGAACACCCTATCAACCACCTAGCAATAATGCCGATCCATACTAGAAACATGCTAACATATTTTATCTATGCCAACTCTTCAAAACTACTTCAATCGTTTAAACTTTAAAACGACTTCAAACTTTCAGACTAGGCTTTCCCACGACACCATAAAGTTTGTCTATGAACTTTACTTTTCTAGTTATATAGTATGATAGTAGCCTAGCATGTCTGTTTTCAGATGCAGCCCTAGTTATTAGCCATCATCTATAAACCAGATTCCAATTGGACATGCACAAAAATCAGATTTGAACTGACAGTCTGACCAAGGTTTTAGTATATACTTTTTTAGGTTTTAGAGTCTCAGCAGAGCTGTCAAACGTCTGCAAGGATTGGCACATATAAGTGTTGTTGAATATGAAACAACAACAGAATGCAAAGTCTAAGCAAACTTGCTATGTACAAACTATGACAGCAACAGAGAGAAAGTTTTGAATGGTATTTCATTCAAGCTATAAAAAAAGTTCTGCATATTGTTAGGAAACAACCTTCTGTAAATGTCAGAACATTAATAAGGAACATTTTTATATTGATATATGTTTTGCTAGTTGGCAGGACTGTTGACATGGACAAATGTATTGAAAATATTGTTTATTGTTCATAAAACAAACTTGCTTTCTAACACTTACACTTCACACTGCAAAAAGTGAACAGCTTCACCAGGATGGTTGGTACACCTAAAATTATTCATTATTTAGGCTTTTTTTAATTAAAATGTAAACAAGTTGACAAAATTAATTAATTATTTTAGGTGTTAACAATTTTTCAAAAAAGTGTTATTTTTCAGTCAACACTAAAAATAGCATGAACACCTATTTATGTTTTCTCAACTTTATTACTCAAAACTGTAATAAATTGGGATTTTTAAAATTGAAGCTAAAATGTTGTAATTTTTGTTGAATTCATTTGTTCAATTTTTATTTTATCTACAAATTCCTCTCTAATTTAAGCATCTAATGCTACCAATTTCTATTATATTTTATCTCTTAAATTAAAAGTTAATTTAAATGTTATTAAACTTTACCTAAACTTTAAATTTAATTAATCTTTCTGTTTTATTTTTCATCACACAACAAAATTGCTTTGATCTTCAAATTTTCTATATTCTTTTTAAATTTTTCTCTATTTCACAGCACAATTGTCAAAAGTCATCTGCCGAATGATTACATTTCATTTCATTCATTTTTCTTTGGCTTAGTCCCTTAATCAGGGGTCACCACAGCAGAATGACCCACCAATTTATCTAGCATATGTTTTAGGTAATCCAATTCACCTATATCACATGTATTTGGACTGAGGGGAGACTGGAGCACCCGGAGGATATCCACACTAACACTGGGAGAACATGCAAACTCCACATAGAAATGCCAACTGACCCAGCCGGGACTCAAACAGCAACCTTCTTGCTGTGAGGCGACAGTGCTAACCACTAAGCCACCCTTGTCGCCCATCAAATGATTAAATGGAAATGGAAATATACAAAGCAATTGATTTCTTTACAAACTAATGGGACCACACATAGATTTTGTTGAAGTGTCTTCTGTTCATGGTATATCTTTTCATTATTACAAGTAATATTTTGCTATATAAAACATAATACATAAACATTCATTCTCATTCGGCTTAGTCCCTTCATTAATCAGGGGTTGCCACAACGAAATGAACCACCAACCTATCCAGGGAATGCCCTTCCGGCTAGCTCATTCAATTCACCTATATTGCATGTCTTAGGACTGTGGGGGAAACTAGAAAACCCCACGCGAGGAAACCCACGTGAACATGGGAAAAACATGCAAACTCCATACAGAAATTCCAAATGACCCATCCGGTACTCGAACCAGTGACCTTCTTGGTGTGGGGCAATCGTGCTACCCACTGCGCCACCGTGACACCCCTAACACATACACATATAAAATATTTTTCATACTTTTTAAAGTAATTATATGACAAATCCATATTTTTTTTGTTATTGTAACTCTAACAAACAAAGTAAATCACTTGAAATAGAGATGTATGTACTGTTTACCACTGAACATTCTTTAGTGTGGTAGTAGTAGTACAGTAAGTTTTATGGTGGTTGCCTCCCCACAAGACTATTAAATCAACCACACCAAAAATGTGGACATTTCAGCGCAATTAAAAATAGCACATGAACCTTTCATGACACAGTGATCACACCAGATCTACGCCCTTGTTTGGTGGAGATTCCTTTAGCCACAAAACTATTAATGTTTTGTTATGTTTACATTACCTCCGCAAACAAGTTCATCAGCTCCGCTGTGACTCAGGAGCCTGCAGAGAGACGAAAGCAATGTGCTGCCTGGTGCAGTTTAATAAATTCTATGATATGTTTATCCCTTGTTATCTTCTGATTAAATAACACCATCTGTCTTAAGAATGCAGAAAAACAACTTAGCATTAACCCTGTATTTTAAGTGATCACCCACTGCTTTACAAACAGTAAACTGAGGATTATAATAAATACCATTTCATGTGAGTTTAGAGGCTGTCATAAGCAGGTATTTTGTAATTAAAATCATAGATAATAGAAATATTAATTTGACCACCCCTATCACAGATACCATCGTGAATGCTTAATTGCACAAACTTTTCTTGTAAAATAAGTGTTTGTATCTACAAACAGCCTAAAAGTAAAGTATTTTTTATTTTATTTTGTATTTTAATAGACACCTGCTTGTACATAGAAAAATAATAACAAGTGTACTTTTATTGTCATCCATTGGTGCAAGAATGGGTCAGAAATAGATTTAAATTCAAAAGTTAATGAACAAGGGGTTGAGGGATATAGGATTAACAATGGATACAATGGATGTTACTGTTTACCTTTCTCAACGTTTAACCCTTTGGTGTTAACCGCATGGTGTTGCCATATGGCTGGCAGCATGATATTTATGTTAATTTCCCTGCCACTGTTTTTTTTTTAACTAACAGTTAAATTTTTTGTTGGAAAGAGAAGATCAATGATTTTAGCCTAGGGTTGTCCAAACTCGGTCCTGTAGGGCCGACATCCTGTAGATTTTAGCTCAAACTTGCCCCAACACACCAGCAAGTGTGTTTTTTAAAGCCTAGTTAGAGCTTCATTAGCTAGGCCAGTTGTGTCTGATTGGGGTTGGAACTAAACTTCGCAGGACACCGGCCCTCGAGGACCGAGTTTGGGCACCCCTGATTTAGCCAATATTTTAGCCAATTATGAGCTTTGTTTAAGTCACATGACGTGCAGTGTTTTTCTGTGGTGCGATTTCTAACAG